CATACTCTGGAAAGTTTTTGCCATTGGCAAGAGGGATTTTTAACGGTATATATTCAAACGGCACGTAATAAGGCATTGACTTCATAACTTGCTCAAAGACATCTATACAGAAACCAGTTGCCTTTACAGCATTTGTCTGCGGATGAATTGTGACTTTTACAAACTGCTCAAACCCTTTTCTTCTTCTGAATGGGACTCCAACCTTCAACTTATCTTCATCAGTGGCAATCTCCCACCCTCTAGGAACAGTGATAGAGTCACCTGGCCATATGATTGTCCCGAGGTCATGTTTGTTAGCAGAGTAAAGAGTTGTACCATTTGGGTTAATAGATTTCTTGGAAATCCCATGCTTTTCTGTCCAGAACCCAATCGTTTTCTCTCTTCTAATCACATTCACAATCTCAAAAGCAGATGGCTGAAGTTCTCCATCAAGAATGTGGAAATCTCCACTTAGTCCTCTGAATCTGACGTTTCTTATGGATTCAACTAGCAAAGGCCCCATTTGTGAGGTCCCAATTGCATCCAAATCTGTGAGGTTGTTCTCCTTATTAATAAATGTTTTCTTCAGCTCCATACCCGAAGTGGTATTTACTTTCTCTAGTGCTGTTGCTAATGCTATGACACTGTCGTAAGCCCACAGCCCAAAAACAGTGAGCTCCACTCCATCTAAGTCTGGATTTAGTCGACGAAACTCCTTTGATTTCCATCTCCTGATTAGGTTATTCAGCTTAGCTGAACTTGGAACATATGGCTTCACACCTATGACCCCCTGTAATGACTCATGAACTGACTGTTCCATTGAAACCAAATGGCTAGTGAATGCATCAGTGATCATCCATACATATCCACTGCTCATCATTCCAGCTTCTCTCACCTAGTTAATAAAGTATAGAAGATAGTCATTTTGTATATAGAAAGTTAGCAATTCTACTTTTAGTATTCTGATTACAACTTAGGGTTCCATTCGCTATTCTCTTTTCTGATTATGAAACTGTGAGTTAAAAGTCATATCAATAAAAGAAGTAGATTATATATTATTTTAACACACCTTAACAAAAAACCTAAGAGCAAAATCTGGATGCAAATGGACTATGAAGACACGTGTCTGCTTTGTCTTTAACTTGAGCAACTCCACCATGATCTGATCATCAACAGCTGATGGCGAAAGAACGCTTTGATGTGCTACTGAAATGCTGATATCCATCATCGCATCCACCAAATGAGGAAGGATTCCGCTTCCGAAGTTGCTGCTTTCGTAGATAAAAACAACTTCCCTCCAACCAAAGGCCTTAACTATTGCTGCAATGGCCTTAGCCTGTGCACAGGAGCAGTAAGCCGCTCTGATGAAGTACGGGTTTTGGATGGGTGAAAGAGAGGGACTTGTGGCTGATGAAATTATGGGAACTCTGACTTTCTTTCCTATGTCTGTTACGAAATCTGTTTGGGTTGATCCCTGGGGACCTAGGATTGCTTGTACTTGAATATTTTTCAATAGGTCTACAGCTGCAAATATACATCATAATCATTATCATTGTCTTCCTTTTGATCTCAACTATGTTATATTTTCTGAAAGAAAACCACTTATGCATATTAATAGATACTCCGTATAAAACAAGGCAGATCTTACAACATTGTGAGAATAGTACTAACACCTGGTACACTCATCGGCCAGGCAAAGACGGCGTTATTCATTCAGGAGCAAATCCAAATCGTGAACCATTTATTAGGGTTGAAGTTCATTTACCACAACTGGAGAAACAAACCAGAAATAGAAGTCCAACAAAAACAAGTAAAACAACAAAAATAACCCAAAAACAAAATATTTAGGGCATCAAAGTGAGTCTGCAGCTTATAACCCTGAAAATCAATCCAGTCAAATCAAGCTGATCCTCCTTTAACCAGATAAGCGTTTGCAAGGAAAATACACAACCATCACGGCCATTAAACCTATTCTCCTCTCATGACTCAAAATTGATTGCCACCATGACACCAGCCGGTTCCGTCGCCGTCAGACGTCCCCCAAACTAGTATCCAAGACGGGCCCGCCCACAAGAAAAAAACATCCGCCATAGATCCAAGCTGGAACCCGTGCTTAAGAAGCAGTAATTCTAACAAAGGGGGCTGACGGAAACTACTTTAAAGCTAATTAATGCTATAGATTCAAGTAAAAATTATAGTTACAACTTACTTACAACTTCAAGATTTATATGCTGTTTTCTATCATAACATAAAAAATCTCATGTCAATGTTGCATGGCATCATATGGTAAAGTCAGAGGAAAAACATGTGGCTGCAAATATGCATGACAAAATCAAACGGTCCAAATTATATACTAGTACAGGTTAGTAGTAAAAAAAAAGTAATAGGAGGCTGCAAAACATAGACAGAACCCATTTATAAGCTCCAAAACTTTGTCTGTTGGCTCTATGAGTCTTCTAAATCTCATGTTAACTTTTCATCAACGCATAGAATCATGAGCCATTTGGCTATCACATACTCCACTACATATTTAATTCGCCTCAGAATAGAAAAAAACATTTCATCTTCCCTCGTTCTTTAATCATCAAATGATTCTATTGATCTTCACAATAAAGTAATTTTTTCTTTGGGCATTATTTGATCGGGTTTATAACTTGGAATACGTACATTACTGGCAAATTACTCCCAATGTAAAGAAAAGATCAATGTGAGTTCTGAAGATATTGAAAAGCAAATGCTCAATAGGGCTTAAGTTTGTCACTAACATATTCAATTGGTATGATTAGAAGTTGATTGGACTGAAATTTCTGCTCTAGTCCGATCTGGTATGTTTTAAGTTTGGTCTGGTGTGTTTGGGACCGGGACTCAAACCAGTCTAAGTAAAAACATATTAAATCCATCATATATGCAAAGATCATTCACTTACACAATTGCAACTAAGAGACCATGAAATCCTCACTAACCTGCAGATGATGCACCGACATCATCGGACTTGGACTCCCTGAAGTGAGGGACAATCCGGGTGTTGCGGTTGTGGCCTCCATAGAAATCGGACAGAGCAAGTAAAATGCAAGCCTTTCTAGTCTTTCCAGATATGGACTCCGAATCAAGAATCACACCCACATCAACATTTACTGCTCCCATACACGAAATAGTGACTAAAGATATTTCAAGTATTAAAAGAGCAAGGCAATGTCTTCTGGCAGCCTCCATTTTTGGGTGGTATAAAAAAATCAGACCTTTGAAACACGTTGAACGAGGAAGCTTGTGGCGATTCAGCTAGTATATATTTGGTTCCAGAGAGCTGGGACCCTACGAGCATGCAGGAGAATCGCCAATGAGCTTCTAGCTTAGGATTCTTTGACATCGTCAAACAAAATCCGGCGATGGTTGCCTGTTACATGATAACAATTGACGCGTAATTCTGAGAAGTCACTGTAAAAACATAATTGAATATTGTTCTTGTCTGGCTCTCAAAGAGACTGAAAACTGGTACATTCAAAGTCTGCTTTGACTGGTGGGAACTGAGAAGAGATTTCTATCTATTTTCGTTCATTGAAGTGTGAAACGCAAGAAAAATCCTGCCCAGTTCATTGTAGGAATCATTCTTTTCCTGATTCTCGGTAAGTGATTTGAGTCCAAAGTTGAATGGGTACGTTTAGGCTATGTTTGGCGGGATAAGTTCAAAAAGTTCTTAAAAGCTTCTAGTTGTGTGTTTGACATGACAATATTTAAGAGCTTTTCAAAAATTAAAAGATCTTTTTTGAGATGCTACCGAGAGTAGCATCTAAGAAAAGCTAGTAACTTTTAGTATTAATTAGCTTGTATACCAAACCGAACTAAATCAAACAGTCAGTTTTTTATCAAACAGCTACCACCTTTTCTTTTTAAGATCTTTTCAGTCACTAAAAGTTAATAGCTATTAAAAAGCTCACAAAAGTATATTTTCAACTAGTTGTGCCAAACATGCCCTTAGACTGGGGAGACCTTTCGGCCTTTTTGGCTTTTGATTGAGAGCTGGTTTGACCCCAATTTTCTACTTTGGATGTTTTTTTGTTAATTGAAATTTCCTAGTTTGGTATGGTCTCATTTGATCAAGTCCGGTGTGATTTCGTGTGAAATGGTCTGGTAAATATATGGTTTTTATGTATTTTATAACTGTTCAAATCTAATCTGGTCTGATCTGAAACTGAAAAACAATCCAAAGGAAAACATCTTTATTCATTTTGTCATCCAACTTTTGTCAAAATTTTAATTACAAAAAATACTTTAATATGGAGTAGTTAATTTTATCAAATATCTCTAGACAATCAGAGCATCTCCAATTCAAAAATCTCAATGACACAAGAAAATTAATTAATAGAAAATCGTTCATATTCTTATCACGATGTAATAAATATTCAATTATTTTTGTTCACAATGTCACCATCCCAAACATTGTACTTGACACTATTAGCACCATTTAGTCCATCCAAAAGTTGCATGCTGAACTTTTGTGACAAAAGTTATTTACCTCAATGGTGTAATTTATGCATCATTCAAACACGAGAAAATGGGCAAATAAGGTCACGCACTAACCAAAAAAGGTCAAATAAAGCCTTATTTAAGAATATATGTCCGGCCATCGCCAATTGGGGTGGTTTCCGGTGGAATTTTTTGATGAAAGTTTTTGAACATCTTATTCAGTAAGTCTAATTTACTCATACCAAATTTCAGCTAAAACGTTAATCGGGAAGACATTCAAATGAATTCTTGAAGATAACTGCACAGTTAAAAGCGCAGTTATCTTCAAGAATTCATTTGAATGTCTTCCCGATTGAATTGTTAGCTGAAATTTGGTATAAATAAGCTAGACTTAATGAATAAAATGGTCAAAAAATTTCATCAAAAAATTCCACCGAGAACCACCCCAAATGGCGAAGGCCGGACAGAGCCTCATAAATAAGGCCTTATTTAACCTTTTTTGGTTAGTACGTAGCCTTATTTGCCCCTTTTCCCTTCAAACACATATTAGTACTAATAGATGTTTTACCAAAATTTCATTAGGTAATGGAATGACTATACTACACAGTCTTCTAAGGTAAAATTACATCTCTGGGTTTACTTCAGCCAGCTAATATATTACATACTTGAGCAACCCAACCCATACATAGTCATTATTCAATCACTCAACTCAAACTACTTGTGCCAAACATGCCCTTAGAACTGCTTCTAACTCTATAGTAGGAGCGCGTTAGTTGCTTTACTACATCTCTCATTGTGGGCCTTCTCTTTACCTCCTCTCCTGTACACCTTAACCCCAGCAAAAGCACCTCCCTAACTTGTTCCATTGTTCTTGAATCTACCAATTCATCCATCAGTCTTGGATCCACTATCCTCTCAATTTCCTTACTCCCTTGCCAAACGGACCTAACCCAACTGACAATATCTGTTTCGCCATGGAATGAAGGATCCAAAGCCTGCTTACGGGTTATCAATTCCAATAGAACCACTCCATAGCTGTAGACATCTGATTCTCTGCTCTTCACCGTGTTAAATGCATTTTCTGTTGAAACAGTACAAGTCATTGCTATAATTTCGTCATTGTGATGCTAATATGCTATGAATTTGGGTAACATAAACATGACCATAGTGTTTGGCTTTAGGGGAAGTGAAGGGGAGGGGTTATGCTTTGTTCGCCTTGTTTGGTGAGGGAAGCAAGAATGAAGGATACATCTATTTCATGATTATATCTACACTCCCATATTTTCCCTCCCCTCCAAAATTGTTAAAATAATCTGGAAGGAAAGTGATTTCTTTTCTTGTGGACTGACTAAATGTAATCAAGACTTCAAGAAAATATCTGGGACATTATTTTCCCTATTTCCAAAACTGGGAAAATATGGGAGAAAAATGTTTTTTCTCGTGAACATTATTCCCGATGTGTTGTAATCATGCATAAAATAACGACAAATTATGACTAAAATAAAACTAAAATAGGAAAAGTGTGACTTTTCAGATGCAGTGACTAAAGTGGTTTTTGCAGTGATTATGGTGGCTGGTAATAATCTATTTTACAATGCAGTGTGATTGTAGTGACTAGTGACTATATAGTCATATTGTTGTTCATTTATTATATTTTACTAATATAATACGGAGTACAAAATACTCATATGACATCTAAATCACATCTCCTTTCTCTCTTTTTTTTTTTTTATCTTATAATTTTGGAGATGAACATTCATAATTAAATGAAATAAAAGTGTAATTAAAAAGTTAAAAATATACACTTCGTCTATATATTTAAATAGATAAAGAAAATAGGTTGTAAATTTAAATAAATTTAAACAAGGTTAGCTTGGTCTACATATTTTTATTTTCCCTACTCTCCGTAAACTCCTATAGTTCCAAAAGGCTATAATAAATTACTCTCTCTACTCGCCTCCCCTTTGAGGCATTAATAAAAACATTCACCTTCTCTCAGTTCCCTCTCCTCCCTTGAACCAAACACAGTACAAGATTTGTTAGAATTAGTGGTATGAATTCTTGTTATAAATGGGAACTAAAAAGAATGAACTTATAACGATATGTATTCAAGTTAGGGCATTCTTAACCATAGAAAAACATAAATAACAAAAGATTACCTGGAGCCATATAGCCAACTGTCCCCTGAACTGTATTGGATGGTAGAGAAGCAGCAGCAGACTGATCCAGAAGCTTGGCAATGCCAAAATCAGAGATGTGAGGCTCGAGATTAGAGTCCAAAAGTATATTCTTAGGTTTAATATCTCGATGAACAATAGGAGGATCACAATCAAAATGGAGATATGCAAGTCCTTGAGCAACCCCTACAGCAATGTTATAACGTGTTCCCCACTCTAATTGCTGAGGTGGACTCCTTTCATGGAGCACATCATGGAGGCTTCCGTTTTCCATATAAGTGTATAGAATCAGTCCATACTCCTTTCTAAGCCAAAAGTCTTCCAGCTTAACAAGATTCCGGTGTTTGACGTTCCCGATCGTTTGAATTTCCCTAACCATACTCATGCTTCCATTCTTGATCCCAGTCAATGCAAGCTTTTTGACAGCATATGCTTTATCGGAACCCACTGAAGCCTTGTATATCGTTCCGTGTGCTCCCCTCCCTATTATATACTTATCATTCAGATTTTCTGTAGTTTTCAACACTTTAGTTAGCAAGGAAGAATCACCCTCTTGAGGACAAACTAGAATTTCTTGTGTAGAAGAATACTTGCGACGTATAAAAAGGTAGGTGGGTAGAAGGATTAGACAAATAACAAATAACGATGTCCCAAGAACTATCGTTGCTATTTCCAAATGACTGAGGGTGCTCTTTTTGGTTAATCCATCAACAGGACAGAAGAGGCAAAGGCCAAAGTTCCCCAGAAATGAAGAAGGAGATGAGCTCATGAACTTCAACAGTGAAGGTGGTATGGGACCTGAAAACAAGTTATAAGATATGTTGATGAAAGTCAATGATTGGATCGATGAAAGAACTCCCAAAGTTCCAGAAAGATTGTTATTAGACAAATCCAATTCCTCTAGCTTTGTTAGTTCCCAAAGATCTGGAGGGAGTTGACCGTCCAGGTTGTTACTGCTCAAATTTAATGATATTAGCATCTGCATTGGCCCGACTGGAGGAATATCTCCAGTTAGTGAATTTCCACCAAGTTGCAGATTTAAGAGCTTATTTTTGGATTGGAACAGCGAATTCGGAATATTCCCTGAAAATTTGTTATCCCCTAGACTCAATCTGAAAAGTTCCCGCAAGTTACCTAAAGTGGACGGAATTGAGCCATTCAACAAATTGTGACTTAAATCAATTTCAGACAGTTCACGGCAGTTTGATAGCTCAGAGGGGAGTGTACCTTCAAGGGCATTTTGAGAAAGGTTCAACAGTCCAAGTTTCACGAGACTTCCAATCTCGGATGGTATAATACCAGAGAGGTTGTTTGAAGACAAGTTAATGACAGTAAGGTTTGTTTGGTTTCCCAAGCTTGGAGGTACTGGTCCAATGAAGTTATTCCCACTGAGGTCAAAGAAAAGAAGGTTATTTTGGTTCTTGACAAAGCCTGGGAGGACACCTGTGAGGTTATTCTCTTTAAGTATCAGCCTTTCCAGTGTGGGACAGTTCACCAGATCAGAAGGAACATTACCTTCCAGATTGTTGCGACCCAATAGAAGTTTCTTCAGTTTCTTGTGGAAGCACAAACTCGGTGGAATTTGACCGGTGAACATGTTGTTGGTCAAATCGAGAATGGTTAAACTGTTTTTAGTCCCAAAACCTTGAGGAATCACACCTGTGAAGTGGTTTTCAAATAGAGAAACATTCTGTAAATACCTTAATTCGGTCATCTCAAGGGGTAGTTCACCCGAAAGATTGTTTTGATACAACTGGAGACTTTTAAGGGTTCGGATTTTCCAAAGGCTGAGTGGAATCTCACCGGATAACTTGTTGGTAAACAGATAGAGAATCTCCAACTGCTGAAGCTCTCCTATTTCATGTGGAATTTCTCCCTCCAGTTGATTTTCATGCAGTTGTAAATTAGTCAAAGATTTGCACTTTCCTAACTCGGGCGGTATTCTGCCCGAGAAACTGTTTGTATAAAGGTAGAGAGTTTCCAACTGAGTGAGCTGCCCGAAGAAAGAAGGAATAGGGCCAGTCAATGCACATGAACCTGCAGCAAAATTCCTTAAATTACTGCAATTACCCAACCCAGGAAGGAATCCGCCCGTGAATCTGTTGTTTGACAAGGAAATTGTGTCAATGTGTTTGCAACCAACGAAGTCCAAACCAATGCTTCCTTCTAAACTGTTATCACTCACATCTAAATAAACAAGATTTTCAAGATTATTCAAACTCACAGGTAAGGTTCCAGTAAGACTGTTATCATTCAAATAAAGTTCTTTTAGGCCAGTGATGTTCCCCAGGGAGGAAGGGATTGACCCAGAGAACTGATTATAACCAAGCCAAAGAATTTCAAGCTCAGTCAAGTTTCCTATACTTGAAGGGATTGGACCGCTGAGTCTATTGTCATTCAAATAAAGAGTGTCCAAAGATGGAATAGAAACCAGAGATTCCGGAAATGGGCCGGTCAGAGAATTAGAGAACAAGCTGAGACGCCTTAAATTCTGCAAACCTCCTAGGCTATCTGGGATATTGCCAGTAAACCCGTTTTCGGATAGATCTATGCCGCGAAGACGTGTGCAACTGGCTAACTGGGAAGGGATTGGACCGGAGAAATTATTGCTACCCAAATCAAGGTGCCTCAAATGCGTCAAATTTGAGATATCCAGACTGATTCCGCCGGAGATTCCATTGGAAAAGAGATTCAGAGTATGCACACGCTGTTTGGTGTCGCATTTTACTCCCAGCCATGAACAAGGAGTGGGGTCGGAAGCATTCCAGCTCTGGTTTATGCTGGAAGGGATAGAAGTCCAGTGCTTGGCCAGCGAGAGAAGGGTTGTACCGTCAGCATTCAAACCAAAAGAAGCATAAATTGGTGCAATGGAGAAGATGAAGAACAAAAAGGATGTATTTTTGCAAGAACTCTCCATTTCAGCTCTGGCTAACCAAATAGAGTGAGGGGAATAAAGAACAGACCTTTCTGAACATTCTTCAACCAACTAACTTTGGGGATGAAGATTTATAGCTCTAAAAGCCTCCAAGGGTGAAAGAGAGGAGAATCCAGAGAGTGGGCATTGCTTTTTTGCTCGCATCACAGAGATGGTGCGCTGGTTGGGGGTTGAAGATGGGGTGAGCATCTAAAATTGGCCAATAAATGACAAAACCGGACTGGTATGGTGGGACTGGGGAGCATTTAGAGCAGATAGTCGGAAGGAAAAAGCATTGACGCGGTCTGGATAGAATGGTGGTCTTGGACCCTCCATTGACCCACCATCGCTGTCACACGCGGCCGGGCAGCATGTTGGAGAAAGAGGTAGCTGTAAAACGGTGTAGGACGAGTTTTCGGTCGAATTCAGTTAAATTACCTAAATATGAGCAAAGTTTCTGGACTTTATTAAATACTACGTATTTAAATTTAAATATAACCTCACTTGCGTCGTGTTACTCCCTCCGTCTCATTTATATTGTCCCGGAAGAGGGTGACACGGTTATTAAGAAAAGTGGGTTTGTGTGGTTGATATTAATTGATAAAGTAAGAATAAAGTAAGAATGATTTAGAGCCACACAAACTTTGCCAAATATGGTATGGGACAATATAAGTGGGACTTCCCGAAAAGGTAAAACGGGACAAAATAAATGGGACGGAGGGAGTATACATTACTCTGCAATTAAAATTAAATTTACATCAAATTAATTGTGTTATCGGATCTGCACTCTTGGGGCTTCGAGAGATGTGATATCATTTTATGTATAATTCCTTCATTTCACCATTAGAGCATACATATTTTTTCGAGTGAAGCGGCCATTTGGACCTGATTCTTAAATTGCTTGCGCTCCTTCAGCGAGCAGAATTATAGTTGAAGTGTTTATGTCAAAGTGTAAAAGTATTTCTGGTGCTGTAATTTATTTACTCCCTCCGTTCCCCAATTAAGTGTTGGGTGTGTTTCGGAAAATAAAGAAAATAAATTAATTAAATAAAATGACTAGAGAAAAACAAGAAAGGAGATGAAGCAAAATTAGTCAAAGCTCGTGCTACGCACGATGTCCTTAAAAGGTATTTATTGTCTCCCACGGTGCTAGGAGCGTTGCAACAATCGTTTTCCAGGATACGATGACTTCGAACTAATGTTTGAGCACAAAAACAAAAGACCCAGTAAACGAGAACAAGTCTGAACACTCAGGAATTTTTCAGAAGACTGGAGGTGTTTTTAGTTGAAGAAATACGTGAACTCGTGTATGTAAGAACGTGTGAAATCGTGTGTTGTTGCAAACCACATGTCAGCCATTATATAGGAGGATTTGTTGTGTCCAAATGGTGAATTTATAGACCTGAACGTTGGACATCAATGACCAGTCCGTTGGGCATTGAATCATCCATGAACTGTCCATTTAACGCTGCATTAAATGATAAGAACACACGGCATTAAAAGATAAGAACGTTATGCCCCTAGGCCTTCTGTCCGCAACAGAGGACCTCAAGGCCTGCTGTCCGAGCTTCGTAGCAGAAGACCCCAGGCCTTCTGTCCCGTGTCGAGCAGTTCTGTTGCGCAGAAGACATGTTCTGTCCGGGCAGCAGTTCTGAGAAAAAAACAAACGTTTCGGGAAGAAAACAAAAGTTAATCGTATCTCTTGAGAGAGAGCCTTGGAGAGAGCCTTTACCCTTAGGAATCTTAACTCCTTAAGGGGGAGTCCCTTTATAAAGGGTTGCAAATCCCTTGGGTTTTTCGGTGTGGGAAATAACACACTCGAAACTCATCCTTTTTCCCAGTTTTTCCATTCTAACGGGTAAACTTCGAGAATCAATTTCTCATTCACCCGTTATCCGTTTTGAGAGTACCACATATCGAATTGTAGTCCTTAACAAGGACAATCCGAAACCACTTTGACCCGACCCAAATCGAAAGTGGACCCCACTCAAAAAATTGCCCCAAAATTACCATTTAATGCAACTTTAACACATTTTTCCAACATTAAGTTCCCGGTTTGACTTCACACATATTAAGAAAATAAATTTGACTTTACTGTGGAGTGCACTGTTTTGTACTGTTTGAACAATGTTTGAACAATGTTTGACACTATTTGACATTGTTTTGATGTAGATTATTTGCCAAATAAGAAAAGTATAGAAGTGTGAACTTAATTTAGGGATTGCCCAAAAAGGAAAGTGAGAACTTAATTGGGGGACGAAGGGAGTATGTAATAAGGTTTTTTTAGAAGCTAAAGAAGACCGGCTTCTGAAAACTTATTTTGATTCTATTTTTATTTAAAAAAAAAACAGAATAAGTTCCAAACACGCCTAAATAGATACACCACGACTCCATCCATTTTTATATTTCCGTTTAAAGTACTATGTAATACGTAGTACAAGTACTTCATACGGAGTATGTAACAAATACAGAGTATAATTTAAGAAATTGCACGTTTTGATATAAAAAAAGGAAAAATTCACATGAATAATCCCAACTATTCGCCGTCTTCTAATATTAATCCCAGTTATTCATAATTCTACAATAATCTGAATTTTATTGATAGTCTTCTATAATTGATCCCCGGTAACCACCAACCTCCTCAACCGGTAAAGACAAAATGCAAAAACCAAAAATCAAAAATAAAAACAAAAGAAAAACGCGAACAACCAAGCGGTCAAGACTAAGTCGGAGGTTTTCTCTTCCCGCAACAGGTCTAGCAGTAAGCACTAGACGGAACCAAGCTAATGAGAAGATATGGCTAGGGGATACAAATTTAGAAACCCGTTTAAGATTTGTCAAGGTCTGATTAATTCCCAACTCTATCACACATCTAGCTTCCTTCTCAAATCTTCCTCTTCATTGGAGCGACGTCGGCGACGAGTCAGACGACAACGGCGGGGTGGCACGGAACTTCAAGGCGGCTTCAATGGGGATGGAGTCCATCCGTCGTTCCTTCTCTCTATTGTCGTTGTTGGCTACTTTGTTATCTTCTTAATTTCCCTAGATGTCCAGAGAATTGTTAGATGCCTAATGCCCAAGCAAGGGATTGGAGAATTGGAAATAGAAAAGGAGATGGGTCAGCTGGATCTCGAAGACAGATAGATGAGGACGGAACCTCCCTTCATCCTTTCTCTAAGTGCCAGCCGCCGGCCATCTTCCAAATTTTGTAAGGGGCAACCCACGACAGTCAAGGAAGGAGAACGAAAGTCATGGGAAATAACGTAATGTAGCAACAAAAATAAAAATAAAAGGAAAATGAAAATCATACAAAAACCAATGTACAAATGACACGTGTCCACATGACTGGCTGGATAGGTATAAGCAGGTCAGGGGTTTGTTGTGAGAAGGTTACCTATATAGATTAGATTATACTAGAATTACTCATACTTTGGATTAATGTGAGAAGATGGCTAATAGTTGGGATTATTCATGTGAATTTTTCCTATAAAAAACAATACGGAGCAGGTGTATGCTTTAAAAAAAAAGGAAAAATTGATAGTAATAATCCCAACTATTGGCGGTCCGCTCATAATAATCCCAACTATTGATTATTACAGAATAATCCCAACTTTAGGGACCTTCCGCCAATAATGGTCCCTATGAATAAATTCTTGTAGTTTCTAAAGTGGATGAGATGAGATATAACAAGTAATCCCTATAAATAATCTCAACTTTTGATTTTTACGCTTAATTTCTATTTAAAATTCACTTTTTATAGAGGTAATATATGGTCATGGACCATTATTGGCGGATAGTCTATATAGTTGGGATTATACAAAAATAATCAATAGTTGGGATTATTTCCAGCGGACCAGCAATAGTTGGGATTATTGTTTCAAAAAAGATGAAGCTGACAAAAGTGCGACATCTCTTAGAAGAATTGTACGGAGTAAATGTGAGGGTTAATTTTCCCAGTTTGACATTTTTTATAGAGGTATTAAAATAGTGATAACATATGATTATGTATCCACGTGCTAATCACAAACTCTATTGCAAGTCCCAACAGTCGACACAAAGTCAGTCAATATGAAAAATTAAATTTACTCACTAATTATCAAATGAGCAAACGCAAGCCTACAGTGATCGAATTAATACCATTCTCTGCCAATCCACCAAAATTTTGACTCCAACTAACTATCACAAATAAAAGAACTCGGGTGGGATAGGTTCAGTCTGGATCGGATTTTTGCTAACCCGGAAATTATTCGGAAGATCTCGGGTCATGAAAATTAAGGATCGGAATAAAGCTCATTATATTCTGTCCGAGTCGGATTTTTGATAGATGTGGTTAATCCGGGTTCGGCTTGGACCGGTTAAAGCCCGAATGTGAAATTTTATCATTGTCTTTTTTATATTTTAAAACCGGGTTTTAAATAAAATGAATCAAAAACACAAACCGCAAATAATAACACTTGTGTCGTGTTATATATTACTCTTTAATTGAAATTAAATTTACATCAAATTAATTGTCTTATGGGTTCGGACTCCTGAATCTTTATTGGAATAATGGAATAAGAAGTTCTTCTGTTCGTCTTATTCTTATTACTTTGCTTGTTTTTATTTTATTTAGATCTGATTAGATCAGATAGATTCAGATCAGAAAGATTCAGATCAGATCAGAAGCATTCAGATCAGATCAGACCAGATCAGAAAAATTCAGATCAGATCAGAAACATCCTGATCAGATCAGAACATTCAGATCAGAGCAAAAAAGTTAAAACATGATTTATCACTTTTATAGTTTTATATTATAATAATAATAATAATAATAATAATAATAATAATAATAATAATAATAATAATTATAATAATAATAATAATAATAATAATAATAATAATAATAATAATAATAATAATAATAATAATAATAATAATAATAATAATAATAATAATAATAATAATAATAATAATAATAATAATAATAATAGTAATTACAATTATAATTATAATTTAAAACAATTCCCAACTAAAATAGTGTAATTGGTTAATTTTAACTCAACAATTAGTGTACCGACCAATTGGCAAGGAAATCATAGATCAAATATATAGTACTAAAAGAAAAATAAAAAAACCGATTAACTGGAACAAATAAAAGTTTATAAAATATTGTGTTAATTAATTAATTTATAACATCACAAGCCGATATTGATTTACGGATCACCTTAAATTAAATGATACACGGAATGAAGTTATTAAAAATTAATTGGAATTATATTTAAACGGAAGTATTTCAAGTGAATTTCACAGATGAATTTAATTTGAGAAATTGTACATTTGATATAAAAAATAACAGGTGTATGCTTTTTTTTTTTTAAATAAAAATGACGCTGACAGAAGTGTGACATCTCTATAGAAGAATTGTAAATGTGAGGGTTTATTTTCCCACTTTGACATTTTTTATAGGGATATTAAGATATTGATAACATCTGAT